ACAAAAAAACAAAAAAACAAAATAGAAAAACAAACACAATCGCCTTAACGAAACTGCCACCCTGACACCACTGCCAGCCCGAGTTACAACCACCTTTTCAAACTCAGGCCATGACAAAGATGCAGACTCGTGTTATTTTCGCCCATTACAAACTCCCATGTGACATAAACGTACTTCCCTCAAAAAAAAAAGAATCACGGTCACCGTAATTACTCTATCTTCCCTCCTTCTAGCTGCAGGGATGAGCTGGAGGGACTGGCTTGGAATCGTGCTGGCAGGCGGGTTGCAGTTGAGGGGAGAGCTGCTGCTGGCAGCCTGGCACTAGTTGGATTCTTGCATTGACTCGTGGTCTATTTCGCCTAGTCGCTAATGTTTGAATCTGATACGCTCTCCGATGGTGCGCGCGCACTGACCCGGAGGTTTGCCGAGGGGGGAAGGGGGGTTGGGGGGGGGGGGGGGGGGGGGGGGGGAAGGCGGAGCCCAGCAGTGAGGCCAGCGGATGTGTAACGTGTGGAACGCCGCTTCTGCATGGCGAAGTGCGCCGACCACCATTTGGAGGTGGTGGTGGCAGTTCGTTCGTTGTCGTCATCAGAGCCATCACCGGGATGCAAGGGGGATGGAGCCATGGCCGTATGTCCTATTTGCTCTGCTTGATGGAGCGTGTTTCGTCGTGCCGCAGCGGACGTCAGGGTCTGACAATCTTCACCTCCGTCGTCGCAGCTGTGTTTCGCCTCGGTCTGCAGGCGCTGCCAGCTCTCCCCTGGGTCACAAGCAGCATGGAGAACACACAATTGTTTTCCACACCCGCATACCATGGCGAGTCCTTACTGGAGGTCGTCCTTCACTGGGTAGCTCACCGTATGGCAGCACCTTCACGGGGCCTCGGTGCCTCTCTTCTACAATAACTTCAATACGAAGGCGGGCAGCACTGCATGAATTGTCAGTTTAGCGCCCTGTGCTGTGGAAGTGAGAAGCTGTCCCTGTGCATTAATGTTCCATAGGCAGTGCCGGCCGTCATCCTTTTCGCCGTCCCGCACCAGCCCCAGACATGGACTTCATGGGAGTTGGGGATGGCAGCGGAGCTCACTCTTTCAACGGGCCACGTCTTCATGCAACTCAGGAGTCAGCACCGCAGGAGTTCGACCCCAACCGCGGACATCAGAACCCGCACATGGGTGGCTTCGATCAAATGGCCAATACAAGCTATTCAGTCGATCTGAACCACCATCACGTACACAGCCATGGCGACGACACACCATCCTCGCAGCCCCAGTCCTTCATCACCGGCGACACAGCGCCCATCTCCCCATGGCGACCGTTCATCATCGACGAGGGAGATCCGTTCGTGGAGGGAGTGGACGATGTATACCTCGCTGCCTTGCAAGGTGGCGGCCCGCCCCCTGATCTTGCTGAAGGGATATGGCTGTAAAGCAGGGCAAGTGGGCGTGAGGGTGTGCATGTGCCATATGCGCCAATGTCTTCAACCGGCACATGGCCACGGACTTCGCACATGCCACATGCTGCACTGCTCAGTGCGCATGAGCAAGCCAGGCGCACGTCTCTGGATGGTTCGGTCGGCGACGGTGCGTTTGGTGGATCGTCCTCGTAGTTTTGCTCCACGAACTACGGAGAAGGGAGGGTGCACCCCCTAGTTGTTGGTGCAGAGATGGCACAGCGATCGGCCTGCGTGAATCCTCCAGTGAACTCCACCCCTTGCTCGGGATCGCAGGCGCAGAATCCATCTCCGCATTCATTCCCTGACAGCGGCGCGGGATCTCCACCTGGTACCGCTTCTCCGGGAAACCACTTCAACACGACGCCAAGCAGCTGCGGCAATAGGAAGTCTCCGGAGAAAAAACCAGCGAAAGGGAAGGGGCGTGCTGGCGCGCATAATGCGGAGAAGACTGCTGCAGACGCCGGCAAGGGATAGCGTGCCGCAGAGTCCGGTGCTGGCCGGGAAGAAGAAGACACTGACGGAGATGGGGGAGGTGTGGCTACACAGGAAGGGGCGGGTTCTGCTGCACAGTCCGGATCGCAGTCACACACGGTGTGGATCGAAGAGGAGCAGCTGGTGTTGGTTCGATGCAAAATCAACTAGTACGACTACGCTATGGAGGAAGAGGTGTGCGGTTGCAGCTCGCAGAAGCGTTTTAGGTCCAAGGACACAGTTTGGGGTAATGTGACTGCGCTGATGGCAGAGATGCGAGTCGTGAAGGAACGACTTGAAGATGGTTGTTCCCGAAAGTGGGAAAGTTTGATGTCCCACATGCGGAGAGTGAGAGACCACGTACGTAAATCAGGAAGTGAGGATTATTTCGGCATGAGCACGAAGCAGAAGAGGATGAAGAAGCTAGATTTTGTCCTGAGGAGTGCTGTGTACGTCACTGTACAATCTTATGTACCCCTTCTATCAGAAAGATCCGTTCGTCAATACAACGAATCTCAGCGACACCGGGGTGCCCTTCGTGCCTCCGCCAGAGATGGTGGACGCCCCTGTTGACGGCCGTGGTGCGGTGACTGCATGCGAAGGTGCGTGCTAGCGGCGGAAGACACGGCGGACATGACTGACGCTGTGAGGGAGCACGGGAAGGTCGCCACTTCGGCCTTCGTGAGAGTCAAGGAGTCGCAGAAGGAAAGCACCGTGATGATCGTTGGTGCGATGGACAAGATGAACATCAACATTGCCATGAATGCAAATGCGTTGTCCGGAGGTTTGGCACTCATTGCCCAAGCTTTTTCAAAGCCAGCCTCACCGGTAGATGCCACGGCGACCGCACCCTTCCCCGGCAGCAATTCTTAAGGCGACCGCATCGACCATTCAGGTTCCTGCTTCGATTACGAAGGCATTTCACATGGCCGTACTGGTATTGGGCAGCGATGATTCAATGTTGTCATGATTACATTTTCTACCGTGTGTGTGTGTGTGTGTGTGTGTGTGTGTGTGTGTGTGTGTGTGTGTGTGTGTGTGTGTGTGTGTGCGCGCGCGTGTGTGTGGGTTGCTTTTCACATACTTGAATGGCCCACTTCTGCATTCGTCAGGGCTGTGCAGGATTTTTGGTACTCTTGATGGGAAACAACGGCTCTTGGAGGTCGTGTGGGCAATGGACATCGAAATGTGCATCTTGTCCTGTTTCATGTCCTAATTTGCAATACAAGGCAGTGCCTTGTATTGAACATTGCTCAGAACATTATGCTTCGATCCAGGGTGATGGTCGCATGTTTGGATTCTTATGAAGTCTTCTTTGTTTTTGCTGTCCTTTTCTGCACATTTGAATGACCCGCTTCCGTGTTACTCGTGGCTGAGTAGGATATTTGATGTGGTTCCTGTGAAACAATGCCTTTCAGAGCTTCTGTTGCCAGTGGACATTAAAATGTGCTATCTTGTGATTCTTGTGCTCTTTCATGTTCTCATATCTTAGGTGCCCAATGTTTATTTTTCACGGCGGTAGCTTGCGTTGAACATTGGTTGCAAGATTGGACTGCCCATCCGGGGAGGCAGCCACATTCTTGGAGTAGTGTAAAGGCTGCGCACGGGTTTAATGTTATTCTCTTTATTTGTTTGCCCCTTTCTTTTGTTTTTTTTCTTGTTGTTTCAACATACTTGAATAGCTGCGCGTGCAGTACCAGGGGATTATGCAGGAGGTTTGCACACTCTTGACGTAAACAACGATTCATTATGGTGAAAGCACGTTAAGCCTGGTTAAGGTACCTGCAACATCGAGGTCACGTTCACATTTTTATTGTTAGTTTCCCCCCCCCCCCCCCCGAAAACCACATACAATTACAGTCTTTTCTCCATGATTGGTTATCGTTTTCGATGCACACGTCTCACGTGCGGTGGATGGATAACAAATCAAATCTGGCCGTTATCAAACAACATGCAATATGATAGAACGATACTCACGAAATGTTTCTCGAACCGCCCGACACGACCCATTAAATCCTGGTTTCAGAAATACAACAGTTCAACAGAATGCCTTTATACATGAAAAAAGCAGTGCTCTCTCTCTCTCTCTCTCTCTCTCTCTCTCTCTCTCTCTCTCTCTCTCTCTCTCTCTCTCAACTCATCCTCCTCCTGTCATCGCTTTCTGCGAATGATTTACCATAACACAGTCCTATCTCCTATTCTGGAGGTTCCGCTGTTCACAAACATGTTGCGCAACCACCACACGTAAAGCATGGTGCACGCGATGTCCTGCACGGGCTTGCCGAGCCGTGAGCTCTGGCGGAGGCGGTGGCTGCACTTCATCATCATCCTCATCATCTGGACGGCGGTGAACATTCCTTGGAGCGAGCACCCGGTCCATGCGCACCCCACAACCGTCGCAACGTAACAGGAGGTTGTGAATGACACACACCGTGACACACGGCACGGAACTGCAAAGACAAGGATGTGATCATTGTGATGTGTGGTTTGTGTGTGCGCAGGAACATGCGCCACATCCCTTTGAGCCTCCCGAACACTCTTTCCACACACTGTCAGCCATGACACCCTTTCTGCGCAGTTTCGAGAAACTCCATGTCGGAGCCGTCTTCCTGGGGGCCGCCATTTGGCAGAACATGCGCCACATCTCTCTCTCTCTCTCTCTCTCTCTCTCTCTCTCTCTCTCTCTCTCTCTCTCTCTCTCTCTCTCTCTCTCTCT